TTGCCAAGCGACGAAAACCCAACCCCGATGGCAAACACCGGGGGGGGCAAGGGGGGTACGCGGCAAAAAAATGGGGGTACCCCATTATCGTATATTCGGCCGGGCCCCCTGGTGCTGAGCAAAACAAGTTTCCTTAAAGCGGGGAGTTTCTTTAACGCGAGCGCCCTTAAAAGCGGGGTCGACTGTACAGACAAGAGCAGAGAGATCGATGCGATTCATCGCAAGGTCATTTCTGTGACATTCGGCGTGATTGTGGTCGAACGCGGGGCGGCTCGCTGCAACTGTACCCAATAGTGCAATTCCTGTGCGACGGTGGTGTCGCCTGAGGTGATGGCAAGCGACCGTTGCCATCCGTGTGGGAACTCGAACCCACCCCAGTACCCGCCGATCGTTGACCATCTGGTGTGGAAGCAACCGCATAGTGCACAGTCTGCCGTAGCGCCATCTCGCCGACACGCTCGCCTCCCCCAAAAATCGAGATCAGGTCCTGCATTGTTGGTTGATTTGGCCCAGATCAGACTGAGGGCATGCACGGGAGGGTGCACGCTGAAGATAGGAAAACAATCGAGTCGTGCCTCGCGTGCGCAACAGAGGCCGTCAACGGCGTGCGTGCAGGTTGAGGCAACGAACTAAGACACGATCGTCCCTGACCTCCCTCCTCGCAAAACAAGACCACCGATGAATCAGCGCACGCAACCTGCTGGAACATGGGCCACGTAAATAGCCTCGGAGTCCAAAGAGAGGACGATGACGGTTCGAAATTACAGGCCCTTGTGCCGCACCAATCATCAACCGCCCGATCACATTCGACGGTGCGCTTCAGCGCTTGCTTCAGGTGTGCAAATCATCAAGAACATACTCGCACCTTATCGGAAGACGCCAACTCGCTCGGAATAGGTTTGCCAAACCCCGGGAATCGACGTGCCGATATTTCTCGGAGTTTGTCCCAGTCTACCGCGATCGCCGAGCTCGCGGTCGCCCCGGCGCCCAGCTGAAATTCTCGAGGAAGCATCGCCCTGCGTCCAAAACACAGCCAAAACCAGCAGAGAAAGCGCCAACAGCACCGCAGTGCACAAGCCAAATGAAGGTGGGGTAGCGGGAGGGGTACGTCGGACGTGAGGGAAGCTAGCGGCATGACAGCTTGGAGCAACGTGTCAAGCCTAGCTGTTTCCACGCGCTTGAAAGATGCAATGTCCCGCTAGTGGAATGAGGGGGAAGTTGTGGTTGTGTTGCTCGTGCTACGCTTGAGGCACGAGCGTCGGAATTTCCCATACATGGTGCGCGGCATGCGACTGGCTGCCCACCGTTCTTGTTGCTGGCTGGCTCGGTCTCGCCAATAAATCGTACACTGCTATCCGAACTCGTATCCCGCTGCGGCGCGCAAAGTCAAGACAAAACTGAGAAGTTAACGAGGTCGAAGTGACCATGTCAAAATCGAATAGAGGAAAAGCCTCCACCTTTCTCCACCACCGACGAACATCTGCTTTTGCAGCTGCGGTTTCAGGGGTAGCCGCGGCCGCATGGTCAGGTCGGCAAGAACGGCCGGCAAGCAGCCATCCTGTCGAAGAAACGGGGATGGAAAGAAAAGGAAATGATCGTTTAGGGAACGTGGCCAACCTACACGTTAAACTCAGGCAGTGCCCCTCTAACTTAGAATAATTGCGTACACAAAGATGGCCATGCCTTCACACGTGGCATCTTTCTAAACAGGACGCTGACCAATCCTACCCCCCTCATTGTGCCCGTGCATTTGCTTACGGTTCCATAGCTTATACGAAGGGCACAGAATTACCTGAGTTTGGCGGAAGTCTTCAGGGGACAAAACGCCCGTGACGCTACCCATGGCCGCGGCTACTCCCGCCCGTGCGCCGCCACCTCCGCTCGTGTTCACGGGGTACACGCACGAGCTGTCAACGGCGTACAGGGCTCCCGTGCCCCGGAGGGCGTCCCGTGCCTTCTCCGACAGCGACAGCTGCGTCGGGTGGTAGCACTCGTCCATGATGGTTATGTGGGCACTGCCTTCCATCGGCGACCTCTTCGTTGTAGCTCCGGTGACAGCAGTAGCCGATTCGCTGCAGTTATCAGCAGCACCGCCGCCGCGGCTCCCGCGGCACCAGCAGGCGAGAGCCGATGGTATCTCGCCGTCGACACAGGAAATGGCGACAAGGGGGACATTGAGTGCCTGTCCAGGAGAGCGAATCAGTACAAGCGGGGAGCCTTCATCATTACCAGAGCGCCCAAGCAGGTAGGGAGGACAACAACCGCTACGATCGTCTGTGAACGATAAATCATCGCACAGCGCTCCACACCACCGCTTGCAACAGCACCACTTCTCCAACAGCTTCGGCAGCATCCCCAGTGCTGTGCGGTCTTTGCGATCCACCGCGGGCGTGGAAAAACTCTGAAAGAACAAACCGAGACAAAGAGAGGGGACAACCTACTCGGGGGAGTGTGTGTGTACGTGTGGCACTATGCTGAAGTTGCAAAAGCAGCTACTTTGGCAATCGATCGTAAGGAAGGCAAAACTAACCCGAAGCGCTCCTTCCATCTCGCACAGCGCGCTCGCTTCCACCGTCGTCCGAAAGGCAACTTCCTGCCGCGCGGCGTCGCGCTGTGCCCCGCCGGCACCAGGGGACAAAGGCGCTGACCTCCCGATAGCAGGATCGACGAACGTCACCGCCTGCGCACGCGAGGAAGCATCACGTCAGAAAAACGACGTACCAGTTGGGAAACGTCCGGCAAGATGCACACCCAGCGAGTGAAGCTCGACCCAACGTGTCAACGGGAGACTAGGCATATCTATCACACTTCTTTTCCGGTGTGCTTCGAGGCCCCTCAAGTCTATTCCGACAGGGCAACAGCGGTAGAATGATGCAGCTTGAGGTGGAGTAGGCCACTTGAGCAAGGCCGCATCATCAGGAAGAAGAAGAAATCCACCTCTGGTACTGTTGTGGTCTCGCCCCTTCATCGCGCATGCACCAGCGCGCATGCGTGCTACCACAAACACCGCGCTAGAACTTGTTTCTGCCCACCATTCCGCTCACCTGCAAGGGTAACTGCAGTTCGGTGCTTAGCCACAAAGCCAAGGAGAGGGCCAAATTGTCTTTGACGCGGTAATTCCCGCGTACCCAATACAATATCCTCGAACCAGCCTGAGTTTGTTTGCGGGACATCCAAGCGGTGGGCAATCCAAACGATGGGTATTGTGTTGTGATAGTTTGAGCACCCGGTTCTGTAGTATATAAACACGTACATCATCTCGTCAGACCCCTCCTGGCTCTCCTGTATCTTCTTCATGAAATGTACTGCTGTCCGATGTCACTGGAATCATACCAACACCCCGCTGCCCTCTGCCCTCCGCATCTTATAGGAACACAAGTATCGGCGTACTACCTCATGATCGAACACTTTACCTAACCTCACACGGCCGGAAGAGGAAACGAGAGAGCGGTGTACCGCTGCTACAACCGCCTACCGACTTATCCACATCACACACGGGATCCCTGGACCTTACACCGCGCACCTCCCGGGGCACTTCTGTAGGCAGTGCCCTTAGGCGCTGCCTCCACAGCACCCACCCACCCCTCCCTTTCTCACCGGCTCGCTAGGCTTTGGATAGTGCAGAGTCCGGCGTCGTTTCTTCAAAATCCGTGGCCAGTCGTTGTGGAAATATCGGTTGCCTCCTCGTCGAGGGCTTTGGATACGGTTTCCCGCGCCTACAGCCACTGGAGCCCCTCTATTGGGGGCACTCCTGTCTTCCTCCCGTCGCCATTCGCCCGAGCTTCCCCCGCTTCCCGGGGGAATCCCGGTGATGAGAGAGGCGAGAGGCGTCGGAGTCTTCGGCGTTGGCGGCGATACGGAAGAAACGCCCGCCGGCGACATTGCTGCCCCTCCGCCTGGTTGTAGTGGTACCGTGGACCCTCGTTTCAAGAAAGAAGCAACAACAGATGCCGCTGTAGCTCCACCACCTGCCACTCCCGACCGCTCGCTGCTGTTGCCGGGCGCAGGTGCGACTGCTGCTGCGTCCTCTTCCATGGGGATACACTTGCCGACGGTCACCGCGGGGGGCGGGGTCGCTCCGGATGTTGCCGTGAGATCGCGTGCGGAACCATGAACGCCGGTGGCATGGCGGTCTGATGGTGCGTTCCTCGTTGGCACGACCGACACTGCTGGGGTGGCATCTCTTCCCGCTGCTGCGGTAATTGGTGAACCAAAAATGCCGTTGGTCGGAGCTGGAGACTCGACCTTGGAGGGTTCCACAGCAGATGCAGCCGGTGCTGTTGTTGCTGCTGCTGCTCCTGCTACTGCTGTTGTTTGCACTGACACGACCGACACTGCTGGAGTGGCATCCCTTCTTCCCGCTGCTGCGGTGATCGGTAAGCTAACAATGCCGTCGGTCGGAGCTGGAGACGCTACCGTTGAGGGTTCCGCGGTGGCTGCTGGCGGTGGTGTTCTTGCTGTTGGCGGCGTCGCTGATGGTGTCGCTGATGGTGTTCGTGTTGGTGTCGGAGACGAGCGCGGAACATCACGATCATCATTTCCCGGCGTCGGTCCGTTACGGTCGAACGAGGTCGGTGTTGCCACCCCATCAGGAGATGCTTCCCTGCCCTTGTCACCATCGTCGCTTGCGCATGATGCCAACGCTAGTTGGAAGAAACCAGACGGGAGTTCACTGTTGCTAGTGTCAAGCGAGAAGAAGCCCGGAAAGGGATCACGACCGAAGAGACGTGTGCGTTTCCGCTTAGGATCAGGATTGGTATCGTTCATAGTGTCGTAAGTGTCTGCTGTTGTGTTCGCGGTAATGTCACAACATTCAAGTTGAGAGCTGAGAGGTGAGAGCTGGAGCTGGAGAGCTGAGACGAGTGGCGCGCGCGGCGGGTCCAGTGCCGCCTCGGGTCAAAAAACTGTTCTCAGTTTGAATTTTCGGTTTGCCGGAGGCCGCGGGAGGCAAGAGGGTAAGACAGAAGAGGGTTCCATCCACCGACACACAAAGATGGCAACATGCACACGCAATGCACCACCATCCAAGAGTACGAGACGATCGGAGCTCATGTGTGTATTGATGGTGTGTGCGCTGGCGTGCCCGAGCTCATCCTTTCTGCTCAACTGCATCCGAACAGCAAACACATCACGAGCGGTAACGGCGGTGTTCTTGGGCCGAGGACGTCGTCCACGTCCTACAGCAGTGCAACGCGTTCGTTGCTTGCGAACGCAAACGAGAGCTTCTGCTGGTCTCAATCAGAACTCCACCCCTCTTGTTGATGCTTTGGCCGAGGCTGCCGGAAACGTACGGTCTCCCCTGTTCTTTCCGGGTCACAAGATGGGAAGGTAAATCTCTGTTCCTCGGAAAGTGCGTGGTGTATGAACAAGCAGTATGTGAATGCCATCTGCCCTAGCGATTACACCCATACCGTTAGCAGAGGCTTGCGCGCAGCAACACTTTCCGATGAGGATGTACATACACCTGCTGTTGATAAGGAGGACACAATGAGCATGTTTGCACGACCTTTGTACCCCAACAGCACCTCCACACCTCCACCACAGAAAAAGTCCTCGAGTCTTGACGTTGAATAACACCCCCCCTTCGATACCAGGAGATCTTTCTGAGCACCCATGCATGCACCATTGGTACAGAAGTACGTCCATATACACATTTATTCGCATTGTGTTGTGTGTTTCACTAAAGGCCAGATTCACGCCTCCGATATGCGCCGAAAGAAGAAAGTGCTTGGTTGTTCTGAACGTATCAATTCAGCGGCGCTCCCTCCCGGCTGGTGGACTTGATTCTCGGAGGCAAGCTGGACGCTCTGAGGCATGATCTGCCGGAGCTGCCGGAGCTCGACAATCTCTTCGCGCCGGAGGTTCGGCCACTTTCGCTTTTCTCTCTTTGAACAAGGCCGATTCATTTTATGGGCAGCAAGTAGACAGCGGGAGTATTGTATGTGCCTGATTGCCCAATCATGATGTGCGGCAAACTTGTTTTGTATGTGGGTCTATCTTCCCGTTGCATTTGGTCACGAATGCACGGGTTAATGCTATACATGTCCGCAAATCGGCTGCAATTCAGTGAAATACGTACAACATTTGTTCAGCAACTCATACAGAGCTTGCGACCAACGGCCCATCCTCTTCCTTGTCCCTGTTGAAAAGCATGATGACCACTGGACTACCAATCAGCGCGGTCACCACCACAGGCACTGCGTTGGCCGGCACCGCCGATACGGCCAAAACCCACCAAAGCAGCGTTCGACGCCAAGTGGTGGCGTGCGCCAAGGTCGTAACCTAGGCATACCAGGGGTGGTGGAATTATTTGCCTGTCATCGTCTCTCCTGCTGTCTCCCCTCGCAAGCTAAGACGGGAACCGTTCTTAGCCTTATTGGGCTTTCGCGGCTAGGCTTGGTTACGCCGGGCGTGCTTGGAGTGGGTCCAGAGCTTCTTTCAGCGCTCTGCGATAGCCATTTCCTGAGGGGCCGAGAGCCGTGTTCGGATTGCTGCGGTGGAACGCCGCCACATTTCGCCTCCCTTGTCATTACCGCACTTTTCCCAAAGTCAGGTTCTCACGGTTTGACTAAGTGTCGGTTTACCCTATACCCCCGCTTCAGGGACCGATCCGAGACGCGGAATTATTAGCCGCTGACGCCTTCGGCGCAGCCAAGACATGGATGTTGGCAAACGGGAGGTGAGGGGACTTGGGGCTAACAAAATGCAAGGCTAACCTGGGGCTGTGGCTACGTCCTGCGTCGCACCATACACCGAGTGTCGCTGTTGTGCGTGTTGCATGCGTGTGTTTCACAACCAAGCGGCGATGCTGAACATGCTCGTCTGGCGAATTGGAGGCAACAAGAGACAGCGGGTCCGTGTTTGGGCCCCCTCCACAGCAGTCGAGGTCCACCGTTCGCGACGAACCAAGAAAAATAATAAACGTTCGGCAGGGGTGCTGGACTACAACAAATATCTGTTGGGCGCCTCTTTTAAACCTTCAGCATTTTTGCCGACTCGCTCGTCGCCCACACTCCCCACCGAAAAAACTCCGCCACGCGTCGTCTTCTCGTGCATTTCGTTCTTCTCGCCGCGACGAACTAACATCTTGATGCTGGGGAAAAAAAAATCAGCACGTGCGGGGTCCTGGCATCGATCATCGCTTGCGTTCAGTGGCATAACTCTCGCCCCGGGGGGGCACCTCTCGCCGACGCTCCAGCCGGAAGCGGTGGCGGCCGCAAAAGCGTGGTTATCCTTCCCCGTGACGCGCACAAGTCGGCGGTACACGCGCTAGTCCTCAGCGGGGCGACGCCCTGCTTCCTGCCGCCCATCCGCCACCCGGAGTCGGGAGTTGGCCTCGGGGTCGGCACGGCGGAGCTGAAAGCGGCGCTAAAGGAACACGGAGATGAGGTACAATGTTTGCAGAGTACGCGGTGGGAGCCGTCCGTGGCGATGTAAATATGTAGTGCCGTGGTACATAGCAGGCCAGGGTTTGCTTGAAGGGACGAGCCAGCATGTATTGTTGCAACCGCCCTGAAGAATTTCCTCCGGTTGACCACGAGAAACCATCGTTCCTTTCGGCATCATCTGTAGCCGTTTCTTCGGCCTTTTGGGTGGCAAATATCAAATATGCGAATGTAAACACCCGATCCACCTTGGCTACTATTCCGCCAGCCCATCGGTCTGATCCAGACTGTATCTGCATCATGTGCTCACCAGCCTACTGTGGACAGCTTGGCTATTGGTGCAGTAGTCTCGCGGCCACCCCGTTCCTTTCGCCCAAGGATTTCCAGTAGCGAAGGGAGCATCTCGGGGGCTGCCCACATTTTTTGTACGTCTCGACCACAGTTGTCGGTCCATGGACCACCCATGCTTTGCTCTTTGGGCAGACGCGGTTTCGAAAGGCCGGCGCAAGGCCGACCGAGCACGTCTTTGCGTTTACCTATCGTCAGCCAGCGTCGCGCAGGATTCCCGCTCCCGGAGGCGCGAGGAAGAAGATGGAAGTGCTAACGCCAGACAGACCTCGTGTCGTACAAGCGCTCCTGGAAAATTGGTGCACCCTTCGCCAACTCTTTAGTAGTATTAATATCAATACACCGGCGCACGGACAGAAGGAGGTACTGGGCAGAGAGAACGGAACAGTTTTTAATGTGAAGACAACAACAACAACAACAACAACAGAAACAAGTGTTGTGAGAGAGTGTCGAAACAGACCGCGCTTTTCGCCCTTGTACGACAACAACCGCCGCCCGCTGTGTGGCGTAAGCAGGTGGCGGCGGTGTTCATGGTGTCTCCGACGTACGAGGGTGCATGCTCGGACGTGACCTCGGCGGCGGAAGCCTGCCACGGGGCCGGCGTCCCCCTCGTGGTGGACGAGGCCCACGGGGCGCATCTCGCCTTCTTGGGCGAAGCACAACCGCCGCCATCACGCCCATCAGAGGAGGAGGAGGAGGGGAGGGAGGGGAAGGAGGAGGAGGAAGGCGGTCGGGACAAGCAGGGAGGTAGCGGCTCTTCGTACCCACGGGGTGGGTAGAGGGGCGTTTTCCTTCGCGTGGCTTAACGGATACAGCAGTGTACCGCCGTTGATGCGGCCTTGTTTTGTGCGCCATGCCGTTGCGGCCGGGTGCAACTCAGTCGTGGTGGCTTGTGCGTGCACCGTTGGTGCATGCCGCTCTGTTGGTTAAGGTGGGCCCCTTTCCCTTGTGCTGGTTGCGTCTGTCGGGTATGTGTTTTTTCTATTTTGTGTAGCTGCACCTCCCCCGCCCGCCCCCCCCCATGTTGCTGTTTGTTGCAACTTGTGACTACGGATTGTTCTCTGTCGATGTTGTTTTGTGTCCATCCATGACAGCGGCGCTGCGGTGTGGCGCGGACCTGGTGGTTCAGAGCGCTCACAAGACGCTCGGTTCGCTCACTCAGTCCGCCTTCTTGCACCTCGGACAAGGCAAGCTTGTTGTTGTTTTGTCGCTATCTTTGTTGGTGTTGGTGTTCTCGTCGGCTCTCTTCTCTCCCCCCAGCTTGAGTTGCGTCCTCCAGCAAACTCGAAGGTTAATGCTGTGCACATGCAGTCCGATCGGCTTAGGGAAAAAAATCCTCCGTGTTGAAGGCCAAGATCGGTCCTGAAACAGGATCAAGTAAAAGGCACCTTTTACATGTCTCTCATCTGTCTCCGGTGTTCGTTGGTTTCAAGCGTTCTCCACTTACATAGCATAGGGCGAATGCACTCTCGACACTCTCTTTTTTTTTTGTTCCTTTTTAAGCGGCAGCAGCACCAGTAGCATGCCTCCCTAGCAATCATCATTTCCGTTCAGTTCAAGGATGCCCGGTGGAGTTCACGCACCCACCTGTACCCCACAAAGACGCCCGAGATGAGTTCATCCAATCCAACCCACACGACGCGAACTTGGCATATGCCACGTCACACAGGAAGCGTGTTCGCCTCAGGGGGCACCGAGGGGGACGGAGGAGGAAGCGGGGGCGGGGACGACTTCTCCATCGAGCGGGCTGTCACGGATGCCCTTGCGACGGTCCAGAGTTCTAGCCCCAGCTGTGAGTCGGCTTGATTTAAGACGATTTTTTTTATGGTTCGCCCACGTGTTCGGTAGTCAAAACGAACCGTGGAAGACCCCCCCCATATCGGAGGAGGGAGTAGCGGGGAGGCACGAAGGGCTCTCATGGTTTGGTCCTGAAAACTCGTTTTTCTCTGCACCAAGGTGCACGCGGCGAGCGGGGCGCGAGGTCTCCTCTTTCTCCTGTCGTCGAAACACAGGCCTTCCCTTCCCGTTTGAGCTTCCGGCGCTACTGCTTGCTTTCTCAGCCGAGTGAGGAACGCAAATTAAGAAACGGACTCAGGCATTGGTACAAACGGCGCCGACCCGGGCTCCCAGAACGAAAAACAAAATGGTCCTTCGCCTGCGCCGTGAGAATTCCCCGGCCCCCGAGTTATCCCCCCTTACCCAACGTGTCCCACCCCCCCGCCACCCGCCACCTACGCGCGCCACCTCTCGCTTCCGGGTACGAGAGCAGACCTGCTCTTAGCGTCGCTGGACGCGGCGCGTTGGGACCTCGCCGGCGCCACCAAGAACGCCAAGCGTCGCCTCAGGGAGGCGGCGCTGATCGCGGACGGGGTGCGGGAAGAGCTGTCGAGCGTCGAAGGTAAAAGACGCGGCGGACATGTGTGTATGTGTGTGTGTGCGTGTCGTTTTGTGCCCGCGAAGCTCTGCGGTGTTGGTGTGGTGTGGTGTCATCCTGTGATGTGTTGAGTGATGTGTCGTGTGATCCTCTGCGTGGGCTGTGGCTCAGTGTTCTTGCATTGACAAGGAGGGTCAGTTTGTTTCGTGCCGCGCTATGTATGCACGCCAGCATTCGGTCCAAGGGCTTTTCGCGTCAATGTGTTGCGTTTGTTTGTTGGCCCTCCCCCTTCCATGGTCTAACCGCTAAGGCATGCAAAACATAAGAGTACGCCCCCCCCCCTTCCCTATCCGATCCTCTCCGATACTTACCGGGTGCCGGCGGGCGGGGCAAAGAGTGTCGAGGGCTGCTCATAAGCGTTCGAAATCGATCGGTCAAACACGGCGCACGCGCCCCCCACCACCCCTCCCCTCCTCCACGCCCATTTTCCCCTGTCCCTTGGTTGTTTGCTTTTTTCCCGCTGTGCCGATCTTCCTTTTTCTTGTTCTCTTCTGACGGACGGCACCCGGCGGAAAAGTACAGGCATCAACGTGCTCGACCTGGGGGGAGAGAGTGGGTCGGCGGCGGGATGCGTAGGGACGGATCCGTTGCGACTTACCGTGTCTTTCGAAGGGGGCGTCGGTGGATACGAGGCCGACGAAATTCTCATCGAAGGTGAACCGGTTTGTGGGCCAATGGGAATTTGAGCCGCGCGTAGGGAGCTCACGAGCGGGGGTATCATACGTGCCCTCGTCTGCACAACATGCAGCACAAGCCACGCTCATGCCGTCGTTTTCGGGGGGGCTCAGACCCGAGGTCCAAACCACTGTGGAGATCAAACATGTATTCCCGTGATATGTATCCGCACACGCATCGTCTTTGAAAGCTTTTCCCGGTTTTATTCTCACTGACACTGCTGTGTGTTTTCATTGATCAACCGATTAGTGCGGTCGATGCTTCTAAATACATCGATGTAGTAAACAAACACACACACGCACATGACCTCCCCTAACGGGGTCCCAGGCCATGGCCTTTAGAAGCATTTTGTGTTTTCAACCGCACTGACACTACACTGACGTGTCTTTTCGTTGGTCAGCCGGTCAGCGCGGTCGATGCTAGCATTTGTAACACGCGCACCCTTTCTCCCTGGCCCCCCACTGTCCGCGTGTATGCATGCATACACAGACTTTGGTGTGTACGCGGAGCTCCCCGGTCCGGACTACGTGACCTTCGTCTTCGGTCCCGGATCGACCGTCGAGCACGGACAGAGGCTGGCGGAAGCGCTGCGACACGTCGCGCTGTGAGTTAGTTACTACTTCTAATAGTTCGATTTGGCCCGGTCTCGCCCCCCACGGCGCGGGTTGTCTACGTTGCATACGTGTCGCGTCTCCCGGGCACCAAGCAGCGCTTGTTGTGTGTCCGTCGGTCGTGTGAGCGTCTGTGATTGGGGAGCTAAAGACCGCGTACCCTTGACGATAAAGGGCGGTTACCCCCGCCCTGATGCCCTGTGTGTGCTAAGACGAGTCCCCCCCCCCCCCCCCCC